TACAGTACTTAGAGACTCCTCTCCGACATCACTGTGGTGTTTGGCTTATACACTGTAATCGAACATTTATAATGGTATTATTGTAGAACTTTTCGCGCAAAAATATGATTGTTCCAATTGAAATTCCTGTATTATCTTTATTGCATATTTTGGGTGAGCATCAATTCATCAATTCGCCAATCAGTTAAAACTTGGTAATTCGCTAAAATGTGATTTCGTAAAAATGAGTGCGTTTACAGCATTTCTCTTTAAGATGTCATGACTGTTGATTGACATTGCTGTTATTTCTGAAATTGTAGTACTGCTATTTGTTCTGTTATCGTCAGGGGTAGTACCACTGCCGATATGGTTCAAGTGATGCTATATTTGCTGTCAAAACATTGATGGACACTTTATTAGTAAAGTGTTAAAAGCATACGAAAGAAAAAGACGTTTGTATCGCATCGCTACAGTAACTCCTATCTCGAAAGAAAAAACATTACGCAGGAGAGAAATTAACTCTATGATTTGACCGGAAGAAGACGCCATTTCTCGTGGTAAGAGACAGGAAGTCGATGCTCTGAGGATTCTATCGAAGCAATTGCAATGGCCGTCTTACCTACCTTACTTAAGTCTAAAGACCAAAGTATATGAAATCGATAGTAACACTAGGTTCTCTAGTGATGGACGGTAGTCTGGGTTCCTGCAAAGCTTTGTAATGATGAGGAATTGATTCAAGGTAATTGATACGCTTTACAGACGTGATAAGACTTCATGGACAATTCGTGATGGTGGATATCAGCGGGGAAGTAGACAAAATTACAGCAGACCTGCTTGAAACATGCAATATTCATAACTCCACGCTAACAGATTGCCCCGTGGAACAGATGGAATGTCGCCATATAGGGATCAAAGGTTTCATCCATTTACCTCAAGCATTGATGACTGTTTGTGATGAATAATGCAGATAATTTGTCTATGGTACAATGTGCGTTATTTCGTCAATTTTACCAATGTTTTGAAATATTACTGAGATACATTTTCATTGTCCTATTTTGACAAAAATCTGCAATTTTAATACGGAAATGTTAATAGAACATATCTTAACCAATTGTTACGTTTCAAAGTCGTTCCCGTTTTATTTCAGTTATCATAGTTATAAGTTTTCATGAGATAATAAGTTCCCGTGGTTTCACTGCATCACTATCTCATTGAATCCAATATTTTAGCATTTACCGAAGCCATACATTTCATATTGTATCCTACTCTCTAAAAACTTCGAAAAACGTTGCAAAAATAAATTTAATTGTTTGTTTTATAATTCTGTAAGTTATACTTACCTTGTATTCGATATGCACTTTCATGACAAACAAGATGAATGTCAGCCAAAGTTCAATTAAAAGGACGCTTTCATACTGAAACACTGAGGTTTACGTTACTTTTGCTGTTCTAGATCCTACACGAACGGAGAATTAGAACAGAAAGAATATACACTGATCTATAATCTTTAAACATTGAATTCGACCAAAAAACGTGTATTTCTTCTGAGATATAAACATAAAAAATATGCAATGATTCAAATTGCTTTAACGAACATTCAGTTAAGAATGCTTATTTGTTCTTAATGGATAAAACAAATCATAAAACAAATAATTTCTCCACATGTTAGCTGTATTAAATTCTTGTTACATACATGATCAACGTGCATATTCCGTAACAAATCCACTACGAATCAACGTGGTATATATATATAAATCTACAAAAACGATGATGGTTCGTTGACAAAAGGTACAAATATGACAATATACTCGGGTACTTCCGGTATCATGTAATACTAGACACGTTAAACTGAAGAGGGACAAAACATTCCTAACTTAAGCTATTAATGCACTTGTTTGAGGTACGACGGAATGTTGAGGTGTAGAAAAATATGACACTCGGAACACATCAAGAGTTTTCTTAATCTTTACAGAGAGCACGATCAGTTACGTTGTATAACATACATACTCAGTATGGAATAGTACTAGAAATATCAGTTATTTGTGATAAAACACAATACATAATTAGGAGAATACACAAACCATTAACCGTATTTTATTTCGTATAAAAAGTCAAAATTTCCTTATATATTTTTACTACACCCGAAGAAAGACATCGTTCTTTTACACCCAGGTATCTTACATATATACACAAGTAACAATATCAAAATACGTAAAAAAGAAAATCATATTTACAAATGACAACGACAAAATGACGGACATAAAAAAAGTGATGTGTTGGAATGGTGGACACTATACCGGTAGCAAATCTGTTTTGTCAAAGTATTTCATGACATCATCTGTTAAGGTTAATGAGTCATCTGAACTTGCGTCATCGTCTACATCTACATAATGATTACGTAGCTGATCTAGACACGATTCGCTCCTAAATATACCGATACACGTTTTGTATGGCCCTACCTGCCCGGGGTCTACCTTGTAATCACGTCCTTCCGATAGATTATACAAAGATTTCACACGCGTCAATTCATGTTTTGCGGGTTTACCTAATAACAATTCCTTCGAATCACAATCTATCACAACGTCTTCTGGAGATACATCAGCGTCTATTACCACAGAACATGCATCCGGTGAACTACACCTATAACCCTGTGGTATGTGTGCATCCGGCGAATCACTCACATCCTGCTGCTGTTCACATGGGTCTTCCTGAATAGAATCCCTCCGCAATGTGTACCCTCTTGCATCCGCACTGTTGTAGTCTTGCATATTGTCCTGCTGAGATGCTTCCATGTGTACCTGTACCTTCGTAAGATGTGTCCCGTGCGAGAATACAGGCGAATCTGGGGAAAGTATTGGCCCTATTTGTGTCAATTTAATTGTTTCAGTAGGCGAGTCCCTAAAAGCAGGATTATCACATCCTGGACCCTCTTTTGTCGTAGTCAAATTACTTATGTTTTCCTGAAAACTCTTCGATATTTCTCTATGGTTTACAAATTGAGACTTGCTTTTTTTCGATGCGCGCATTGCCTCTCTGATGGCACCTTTCGGACGTATATTTGGAAGGGAAGACGTCTTGAGCCATGATTCCCTCCGTGTAACTGCTATGGGCACTACTCGCACCCGTTCGACCTGTTTTGCACTGATTGGCACTGATATTGACATAACTCTGTCCCTATCCCGCCATTTCCGCTGCATTTCCGGTGTAATCAGCAACGCTGGTGTGCTAATACTGAGTGCTTTGAACAATGTCGGTAATTCCTTCTCTATCGGATTTTCTTTTAGATCAGTTTTTGGTTTTAACGGTACTTCAATTCCCCGAAAATAATTTTTCCGAAATTCACTTATGATCATATCATATAATTCGTCTTTTCTAAGTTGCTTGACGTCCCGGTCCGGGAGAATATGTGTCACATATTTGTCCTTAATTTCACAATAAAGAACAACAGCTACCATCATGACAAAGAAACCAATTCCCATGAATACTGGGCCTATGTATGTTAACACTTTGAGATTAGGTATCTCGGGTGCTGTGCTGACAAGTAAGGTAGGTTCGGTGATGTTGGCTGATGATATATTAGGATTTAAAATATTCGTTGTTTTTGCTGAGTATCCTAGAAATTTCCCTGGGTTATAACCCATTAAACATAAAACTGTTCCACCACATATTATCATAAAGCCCACAATAGTTCCAACAAACGTTGGGATGAGGCATGGCATTCGTACATACTCCACTAAGTTTACCTTGTGTTTCGGTTGACTACTCTTTGGCCGGGACGCGCCAGAAAACCAGCTCTTTTTATTTGGCCTTTCAAGGTACACATGCGCACGGGGCACAAACATGACTCAAATTACACATCTGCTTCATGCAGACGCTTTTTGTTCCACCTGTGTTTCCTATTCATTGAGCCAAGAGGACAAGGGACGTAGACTTTTCTTGACATTTGGCGAAATTGATAGCCTTGTCCAGTAACGCCTCTATTGACTAATGGGGCTACACTTTGCATAAGTTATCATCCTCTCCAGAAGAGTTTTATACCAGGAGACACCGACGACGTGAAAACACAATCTTCTCTTCATGGGTACTGTAAATATTTAATGGCTGCCCTGGCTTCCAAACCTGAAAGTAGACAAAATAAGCGACATGGTCAATAGGTACGTTTGTTATTGGAAATTCTTTTTTTTGTTTTCGTTCTTGTTACTTTTATAGTTAAAAAACCGCAATGTAAAATATTTATATTTGGGGTTTCTGTGAATGACAAGAACGTCATATTACATTGTACCTACAATTTGGAAATCAATCCTAGTGTAGACATATGCTTGGAATTATCTGAATTATCACACAAAACTGAGCAAAACTGAAAACTGTAAAGTATATATAAATTATTACTTTTATCTAAATCACATTAGCTGTCTGACATTCTTAAATATCCGATGGAAAATTGTTGAATCATTGTCAACTGTACCATATAAATGGAATAATTTGCTTGGTAAAATGTTCTAATTAACGATAACATATTTTTGTATTCATTTGTTAAGAACGTAACGGCACAGCAATACGATAAGGCCATTCAGGGTCACGTGGTAGAAGGTTGATGAACTGTAGGCGTATCTCTCAGACAGAAGTAAGGAGCAGGAGGGAGGGATAGAGATCGCCTAAGTAATGTCATTTGATGATGCAGCAGACAGGCGCGTAGCTGGGGTGTTTGGATGTACATGCAGAAAGTCGCGCCGAAGATGCGAATGCGAGCGCCGAAGGCGCGCAGCTATTCTAGGGGGGTAGGGGGCATGCCCCCCGGATATTTTTTTTAGATCTAGAAGCTCTGTCGTGCCATCTGGTGGCATTTTATATACTGTATATTTGAGTGTTTTAATTTATTTTACAGACAACAATTTTTGGTTGATTAATTCACTTTATTATTGGAAAAAAAATCAAATGTATTTCAAATGCGAAAGACAGCTCTCCTTTTTTGTCTCCGACAAAAATATGTTACCCGAAAATATCCTTTGCGTCATATCTCTTTCCTGATGAATCTAAATTAACTAGATATTTAAATGTCGGAGCCAATATGAACAGATTAATTTCAGATTTTTTGCTGTTGTCCCCCAAACCCTTTTATATAATCAACATTTCTCAGAACATAAGATGACGGTAGCCTCTATATCGATGTTTAGATATATGTATACATATATATCCAGTAGCCCTACTGAAGATAGGCCTAGGACTACTCTTAAAAACATACTTTATAAGCTCATGACAGGGACAAATGAAGGCCTATATAATGTCACAGATTAGCAAAAGCTACATGTACGTGGCTTTTTTCTGACTTTTGAGGCTTTGCCTTTTTCATATTACATTTGCACGCGAAGTGAATGTAAAACTCAGATAGATCCTATACACGCATATATCCGCCCTATAACCTACAACAATAATGCTAGTAACAAATCAATCTACAATTGTTATTCGGAAGGCCTTTAATTGGTGAAAAAAATAAACACAAAAATACACCCATTCCGGAAAAACAACCCGCCTCCGTTGAATAGTTGTATTTCATTACAATCGCTTGTTAAAATGTTGCCGTTTATGGAATTTGAACTCGTGAGCTTTTCCCCCATCTTTTTGACAGGATATCGATATCCACCTTCACTTTACTAAGACGAATACCGGCCTCGCTTGTATTCCCGAATTCAGAACTGTGTTCGGTCGGTCCGGCATTACTAGTCCCTAATACTAATAAAGTCTAAAAGCCGTTTTAGACTCGCTGATGCCTAAGTTAATGTCGCAAGAGGATGTTGTTTTATGTGAACCTACAGCTGCTTGGAAGAAGTCATGTATCAACTCGTTCTTCGAAGATGAGGCGGGTTTTTCGTTGGCTTTGCAGCCATGTTTCCGCTGTTGACAACTTTAAAAATACTAATAATAAAATCGGCACCAGGTACCCTAGGTTAGAACTTCCGGATACGTACTGATTGTCGGCTGTCGGTTATACAGTTAAATTTAATATATTTTTCAATTGAACCACACATCATTTAATCACTTTTTCGAACAACAAAATAAATAAATAAAGAAATAAAAATATAATAGTATATTTGAAGTTTTGATGTGTATGCAACTGCTTATTTGCTTACGTGGCAGCTACGCGCCTGGCAGACCAGATTTCCTCTCTCCTGTGTCTACTTTAACAGATGACGCAGATGAAAACAATGTCGATCCTGCAGGTGTCCTCTATTAACGACTCGTGATGTAATCAGAAGGCCAATGCCTTTCACAGAATCTTTTATTCATCCTTCTTAAACTAATTGTATGATGAAAATCCTAACGTTCACGATATTGTTACATGTATCATTGAATGTAGAATTCGAACGTTATAGAAATGTTCCCATATCTACGCACCAATCGGTATTTCTGAAAATATCTATTCAGTTTTTTACTACTTATAATAGCCAGTTCCACTTACATCTGAATACCTAACAATGAATAACTGACCTGACCTATCTTCTCCTAGTAGAAAGTTTCGAGTGCCTAACATACATTTTAATTTTGAAAAAAATATCTATACTTGCATAAAAAAAGCCTTCCCAACCTGAAAACATACCTCCTTTTAACTTTTGATGATTTACTTCAGTACTTTAATATATAAACGACGATAACATATTCTCGAACTTAATGTAGCAATGTTCGCACCTTAACTAAACTAAACGCTTAAACTTATGAGAGAGATACATTTTTTAGCAATACATTCGGGATTACAGTACACCCC